TCTGTGGATGATGTATCCCTGCGAGCGGCACGAGAGGGTGACTCAACCCCCAAAAAATGCATGTTTAACATTTGGAGGAAATTCTCAGAATGTTGTGAAATCTGCAGGCGCTGCGACGGATTGACATGTTTTATACTTTCTACATAAATGGAAGCGGAGAAGGTAATTGGACGCTCGGCTGGCGGTCACGGCCCGTGAAATGGAGCAACGTGACGGCAACGTACCGCAACACGCTAAACATCGGCATGTTATAAAAGCAAACTAGAATGATGTGTGTTCCCCCGTCCTCTAGATGTGTCTTTCACTGAAGATTAGGAAATGAGCTTCAGGCGGCTGTGTAGATTCCAAACCTATAGGAGGGGGGTCCCACACAGAGACATCCCAATACACCCCAATACAATGTCTGCTTTTCTCTTCAGAAGGAAACGCTTCCTCCTGTCTGCAGCAGACTGATCACTGGAGGAAGGGAGACTAAGGAAATGCTTCCTACTGCCTGCAGCAGACTGATCACTGGGGGGGAGGGGAGACTGAGGAAATGCTTCCTCCCGCCTTGAAGATTTCCCCATCAGAGTCCAGAGACACTTTCCATTAGGGCAGACTGATCACTGACGGAGGGGAGACTGAGGAAATGCTTCTCCTGCCTGCAGTAGACTGATCACTGGGGGAGGGGAGACTGAGGAAATGCTTCTCCTGCCTGCAGTAGACTGATCACTGGGGAAGAGCAGACTCAGGAAATGCTTGATTCTGCCTGCAGCAGACTGATTATATCAGGTGAGCCTAGGCAAAGTCCCTGATTTGAGCTCGAGGACGGCTTTTTATTAATAAATGGTGGAGCTCTTCTGAAAACCGATCCTGTAGCTGTATATTGTGACATGTCAGGAATTTACTAATGCAGACAGGAAAGGTCCTGAGAAGTCCACTTTATGGCTGATGTCACATGGCGGTCACAACTATTAGAGGAGTATTGTTGGCATGGTGATTATACAGACGTAGGTGCAACAACCATTCTCATACGTTATACTGTAATTAGGATTGCTGCCACTAGGTGGTCGCTTTACTTTAATGCTTGTACAATGTAATGTTCCTCATAGTGGAAATACATTCTTCTAATGTAATTTTCCATTTTTTTTCAATAAAAAGAAGAATGGCTCAACCATGGGTCCAGCCTTGCGTCCAACCATAGGTCCAGCCATGGATCCAACCATAGGTCCAGCCATGGGTCCAACCATAGGTCCAGCCATGGATCCAACCATAGGTCCAGCCATGGGTCCAACCATAGGTCCAACCATGGGTCCAACCATAGGTCCAGCCACGGGTCTTAGCCATGGATCCAACCATAGGTCCAGCCATGGGACTAGCCATGGGTCTAGCCAAAGGTCCAGCCATAAGTCTAGCCATGAGTCCAACCATAAGTCTAGCCATGGGTCCAGTCATAAGTCTAGCCATGGGTCCAGCCATAAGTCTAGCCATGGGTCTAGTCATTGGTCCAGCCATAAGTCTAGTCAAGGGTCCATCCATGGGTCCAACCATAGGTCCAGCCATGGATCCAACCATAGGTCCAGCCATGGGTCCAACCATAGGTCCAACCATGGGTCCAACCATAGGTCCAGCCACGGGTCTTAGCCATGGATCCAACCATAGGTCCAGCCATGGGACTAGCCATGGGTCTAGCCAAAGGTCCAGCCATAAGTCTAGCCATGAGTCCAACCATAAGTCTAGCCATGGGTCCAGTCATAAGTCTAGCCATGGGTCCAGCCATAAGTCTAGCCATGGGTCTAGTCATTGGTCCAGCCATAAGTCTAGTCAAGGGTCCATCCATGGGTCTAGCCATTGGTCCAGCCATAAGTCTAGCCATGGGTCCAGCCATAGGTCTAGCCATGGGTCCAGCCCAGCCATAAGTCTAGCCATGGCTCCAGCACCATCTTGACCCGTGGGAGTCTTATCTGCAGCAGATTTCCACTAAGTATATTTGTGATAGGAAATTTGTTTACAGTGTTGGTTGGGTACTACAAAGAGTTTGAATTTCCTCACCTTTGTGCCGAGACATTCCTTCCCTTTCTTGTACTCCTTCTGGCTGTACCGTTTGTCCAGCTTGTTCCACAAGGCCTTGGCCTTCCAGTTGTTTACTTTGGATTTCAGCTTGCTGTAGAAGTGCCGGTAGTCCCTGAGATCCAACTCCAGCTGCCGGGTGAGGATGTTGAAGGCCTGCAAGGTTCCTTTACACGTGGTGGCCTGGATGAAGTTCTCGAAGAGCTGCCCGGCCTGGCTCTGCTTCTCGTCGTCGTTCTCCCCCATCGTTCAAAGGGGTCTGAGGGGCTTTACATGAAGTACGGGAGGGCTTAGTCCACACGTGACGGTGACACCTGCAATGACAAAGATCAGTCATGTATGAGGACTGCGGAGTCATAAATAACATTAGAAAAGTGTTTTTGAATTCAACATTAATCTGGGTCTTTCAAGAGAACCTGTCACCCACTGGAGGTACAAACACAGGAGAATCAAGCTTTTCTAAACGCTTACTTGCAACATTTTTCATTTCATTCATTTGTAATTGACTTCCAATGTGACTTTGAACCTGTAAAAAAATTGGACTACTCCAGGAAAAGTCAATTCCCTCCTTCCTTGTACTTTAGAGCCCTCTCCTCTTCTGGGAGTGGCTAATTACTGTCTATTCTGGCCCAGCTCATCTGCCCCTTCCTTTACCTTTTTACATAACCTTTTTTTTTTTTAACAATGAATTTATTAGGTTTTGTCAATAGAACATAATAACAAAAATAATACAACATAGATACAGACATATAGAAAATAAAATCTTGCTATAAATACATAAACAAAATCAGTATATAGAAGGTAAATGGTATGTTATATTGTTATAAAGCAGTGTTCCAGGTATATGGAAGAAGTCAAAATTAAGTGAAATTGCAGCCTTAATAAGTAATTAGCAAGTACCATAACTGGAAGAAGTAGTCATATATAGAAGCATACCTCTATAGGAGAGAGCCCTAATGCAGTACATATTCAGGACAGTAAGTGGAGGAAGAGTTCTTCCAACCAACTCGAAAACAAATAAAAAGCATGTGATAACTGTGCAGGCCTAAGAAGTGACTAATAATACATAAAAGCATTTTTTTTTGTTTTTGTTTTTGTGTTTTTGTTGTTAATTTACATAACCTTTTAAGTAGCTGCCAAGAGAGGAGCTTGGGAAGATTTTTGTTGAGATTAATGATCTGGTGACAGGGTCTCTTTATATATGTAGTTATGTATACCTATAGTGACTTCTAGTGTACCAAGGTATGTAAACATACACACACACACACACACATACACACACATGCACACACATACGTGTATGTACACACGCTGCTCTCAGATCAGTGCACCAGAAAACCGCAGGGATCATGAAGTTGGATATGAGGATTAGCGACGTTTGTAAACAGCAAATCTCCTTTTCACCTGACTGCGTGTGAAAGTCTTTGCTGTCATGCGGAATTTCTCGTCTGTTTTTACTTTCACCCAGATAGACACGGCAGCTCAGCCGGTATGTCTTCACCCATCCCCGAGAGATCAGAGATGTGAGGTTCAGGGATTCCCTAAGCCCCGGGGACCCAACCTGTGGCTCTTTGGCATTTATTATGGGGCCCTCAAGGCCCCTGCAGGCAGTAGTAGTCTTTGTTCTCAAGTCTCTGGCCATCTTCTACAGAATGTCCCCAGTCTCTGACCATCTTTTATAGCACTTCCCCAGTCTCTGACCATCTCCTATAGCATGTCCCCAGTCTCTGACCATCTTTTATAGCACTTCCCCAGTCTCTGACCATCTCCTATAGCATGTCCCCAGTCTCTGACCATCTTTTATAGCACTTCCCCATTCTCCAACCATCTCCTATAGCATGTCCCCAGTCTCTGACCATCTCCTATAGCATGTCCCCAGTCTCTGACCATCTCCTATAGCACGTCCCCAGTCTCTGACCATCTCCTATAGCATGTCCCCAGTCTCTGACCATCTCCTAAGCGCCCATCTCCTATAGCATGTCCCCAGTCTCTGACCATCTCCTATAGCACGTCCCCAGTCTCTGACCATCTCCTATAGCACGTCCCCAGTCTCTGACCACCTTTTTCTATAGCATGTCCCCAGTTTCGCCCTATAACAGTAAGTGCGTGAACAAGGACCTTCATGGCGGGATCAACGGGGATTACTTTAATATAAACTGCAAAGGTAATACTAAATACTATTGAAAATTATTTTTGAAATGACATTAATATGTTAAAGCTTCAATGAGATTTTAGCAATTAGGTTAACATCTAATTTTTGGTGTGCTGGTGACATTTCTTCAATTGATTCCTGTAACCAGCGGGCCATCCGCAGTCACTACAAGCACCCTCCCCTGTCGTTGGGACATCCGGTAAGGAGTGCAACAAGTTTCTTTCTATATTATGTGTTGTAAAGTAGTCACCGCTCCAAGCTCGCTCCCGGGATGGACTACAATCTCCATACAAATGAGTAAACTAAACATGAGATTGTAGTCCATCCCGGGGGCGAGCTTGGAGCGGTGACTACTTTACAACACACACAGGGACCATGGGGAACAAAGTAGCCCCCCTCCAGAAGGAAGGACAGTGTCAGAGATGATTGGAGGATCTACAGCCGAGTGACACACAAATAAGATACATTGTTGTTCATAGCTAAGGTACCTGATTGGATTTAAGATTTAATTTCCGGAGTTCAGTGTCACTTTAACATACGTCAGTGTCTTGTACTGGTATTAATCGTCACTCTGCTATTCTAAACAACGAGGGGAAACTTCTCTTCACAGTCGTTGTTATTTCCTGAAATCAACAATAAAGTGTTTCGGATGTTGTAAGTTTTATGTATAAATAAACAAATAAATACAATGTATCATCATCTGCACTGCGTGGTGTGTTGTGTGTTGGGATCTCCTCTCATGTAAAACCTCCAATCTGAAGAAATGTGACAACATAAGAGAACACGCTGCGGTCTCTGGGAACACACAATAGAAGATGTTTTTGTTTTACTTCCTTTTTGGAGACATTTCTTTTCGATGTCTTTGGGGACGTCTACGTTTTGGAGAATATATTCATTGATATTACGTCATCGAATGACCACATTACATTCGGATACACAGAGATTTTTCAGTCATGTTATAAAATACTGTTTTGGATGCAGCGGCGACGGGTTAGATCAGGGGGGGAGGCAACCTCGGAACATCAACTGTAGTGAGACTACAAGACCCATCAGGCATGACTCCCAGAAGCAGGGAGATGATGGAATTTGCAGTTTCAGCATAGCTGGAGTGCCAAGGTTGCCTACCACTGGGGTAGACGCTTTGTTAGGGTTTTAGTGCTGCCTGGGGACAAAAATTAATTTTTTTTTAGCTTTTCACAATGTGGATTAGACTCTGCAACAAGTCAGATAGAGCCCGCCTCATTTCCTGGCTGGGGGACATCTAGCACCATTTAGGGCTTTCCTCCTCAGCTTAACTGTCTCTGGCCCCACCCCTTTCATTCATTGGATAATTCTTCCAATCACAGAGACTCAGCATCACATGTGGTTATTACATAGGGTGGTCTAAATGCAGTATGTCAAGGAACGCCCGCTCCTTCTCTTGATGGCCTCAGCCTAGGCACTGACTGAAGCTCAAGGAGGGCTTTTGATAATTAAAGGTGGAGCTTTTCTTGAAAACGAGGCAGTTGCTGTATTTTGTGTCAGGATTCTTTTTTTGTAATGCAGACTTCAAAGGTCCATCAGACACAAAGTGGATTACAGACCCTTTCATATAGTCAGCATTGCACCTGCTTATTATGTGAGCTGCGTTGCTGGAATTTTTGCTGAGGAAGTAGAAAAAAAAAACAACAACTCAGCGTTCATCCAAAAAAAAGATTTAAAATAACTTGTTTTGGGTACCTCCCAAACCGAGCCGCATGTTCCAAACCACAACAGGACACTCCTTGAGAAAACAGAACACTGCGAGGCAAACTTCTCTGTTCCACAAGCCGTAATTCTCCTCGCAGGCGCAGATTTATATATAATGATATTCTGTTGCTGCTGCTGCTGCTGCTGCTGCTGCTGCTGCTGCTGCTGCTGAGCTTTCCTCGCTGGACAATTAAAGAGGACCTGTTTCTTCTCCTCCACAGTCAACCCAGTGCAATTAGTTACTGGGAATTACTGCACCTTTAGGAGTCATTGACAGGAGCATGCATCCGTACGGTGTGCGCACCCGAGCAGAGACCCGGTCCCAGGATGGACAGCTGCTGCTGCTGCTGCTGCTGCTGAGCTTTCCTCGCTGGACAATTAAAGAGGACCTGTTTCTTCTCCTCCACAGTCAACCCAGTGCAATTAGTTACTGGGAATTACTGCACCTTTAGGAGTCATTGACAGGAGCATGCATCCGTACGGTGTGCGCACCCGAGCAGAGACCCGGTCCCAGGATGGACAGCTGCTGAGTGTGAGATGCGGATGCTGCCGCAGCTGCACGCAGTTACACATCGACCCAAACTTGCGCATCTGTGCGGGTCCAGGTGCCTGAACTTGGACACACACCGTCTTGAAATGCTAAAGCATCACTGGTTGCTTGAACGCTAGCAGCTGGGCGGCACAGTGTGAAACGTAGCAGTTACTAGAATGCAGGTGGCTGCACCATACCAACCAACGGCGCAGTGGGGCCACCTGTGTCCTAGCAACCAATGACACTGTGTGGCCCCGCTGCTAGAATCCTAGCAATCAATTACACTGAATGGCCCAGCTGCTAGCATCCTAGCAACCAATGAGACTGTGTGGCCCAGCTGCTAGCATCCTAGCAACCAATGAGACTGTGTGGCCCAGCTGCTAGCATCCTAGCAACCAATAAAAGCAAACAAAAAAGAACGCCAGGTAATCATCTCAAGAGCAAAAACATAACCTTTATTGGCCTTGCAAATGGTGAAAAGCAGATATGCATAACCCGTTTGCTTTTAGGGGTTAGGAATCCCCCTTCACCATGGACAGCAGGACACTGATGGACTCTTTTACAGCCCCTGCACATCGATGAAACGCGTTGGCTGTTGTCGCCATTTGTGAAGCCAATAAAGGTTTTTTTGGACTCTTGAGGTGATTACCTGGCACTCTGTTTTAGTCTTCATGAGAACATACAACAAGACAGGGATGAGTCACAGTTCTGACCCGCAGGAAGTGACATTTGGGACACGGTTGGCTGTCATGAGCAGCGTGCTTTGTGTTTCACAAACTAGACCAGGTTATTTATTAGGAAAAGAAGAATAAAATGAAGCTGGATGGATGAATGCAGTTTAAATTATAGGCGTGCAAACCTCAAATTGGAGCTGCTCCACAAGGCAAAGCAGGG